TCTTGCTTGTGATATAATCTCCATCTCCCCGTGCCCCCTCCCCCCAAGTCCTTTTGGAAATTTTAAAGGGTTCTGTTCGTTTTTTTTTTTTAAATAAAATGAGGATTTTCAGTTTTTATGAATATTCAGTAAAAATAAGCTATACTGTATTGTGTTAGCCAGGTTGCTATGTTGTGTGTAGGCTACTGTGGCCTAAACATTCATACTTCATTTTGTAATAAAAGGTATCATCAATACTGCTTGGATTTTACTCTCCTTGAACTGACTGTGTTGTCTGATCTGAAAACACACCCTGGTTATGTATTCACTGAATACATGCATCTAAACAATTTACTGTCAGAATGAAAGTATGATAAAATGAGAACGATAATGTTACTGTTTAGTGGACAGGTGGATTAGTATGCCTTGAATCTATGGAAAATACTTATGATACCCTATTATACTGACCTGCGTGATGCACTTCATTCTCTACCTTTTTTCAGTCACCATCAAGTCTTTAAATCTTGAATGTATGCTATGCTTTAGGTGGTTATGCAAAAAACTGAATACAAAACTGAGAACCTGTTTGTAAACGTTTTTGACTTGTGCTGTTTAAAATGGGTTATAAAAGATACCTGTTGTTTCTAAAAGCATCTAGAGGCTGGTTGAGTTTTCAGCAGATGGATGGATGAGCTTGCTTCTGAGAGATGCCAGTCTGTCACTTCCACTGAAGTTGATGGAATTCTGTGTTCTCAGGATGTTTTAGGACTGTTTTAAGGAAATGATAGATTAAAAGGATGTGTCTTGTTCCAATATTTTGTCTGCAGAAGAAAACTAACCAGTTAGCAGTACTTGTTTCAATGTCTGTTATGCTATGAAAGAATATTTTAAGAGTTTGCCCACAGATATTTTGAACCTCTGGCCTGAGAGCCAGGCCAAATACCTGTACGTTCCTGACATGAATAGCAAGTCAAAGCTTCTCAAATTAGAACAAATAAAATTCAAATACCTGAGACTCAGTATATACTCTCTTTATTAATATGGAAATAGTCCTTTGTTACTGGTTTATAACCAGAAAAACAACATGGAAATTCCTTGCAAAGAATAAAATACTTGGTGTTGTAACTGAATAGATGTAGACTAGTTGGATGATTGTGTTCTTCACTTACACCCCACAGTTATGAGGGACAAAAGCCCCTTTAGATACAGTAGTACCTTATTGTATTATTGGCCCTAAGGTGCCCTAATGTTTAAGTTTCTGAACTAAAAAATGTAGTATGTAGCCCTTAAGTACCTAAATTCTCCATTCAGTTCACTGCAAGACTGCTAGGAGTGGAATTCAGAAAAGGCTTTGTGCTGAGTAGGGAGGACGCTTGCTCCAACCAGAAGGAAATACCGCAGAACGAGCCATACATCTTAAACTGTGCCCCTCTTTGGCCTGTATATGAGAACAAAAGTCACAGCTAAATTCTGATTTTATGTTTACACCATGAATGAAAATACCCATGAGCCAATCTTGGAAGCAGAAGCATGTGCGGTGAGGTCTGTATAAGCCAGCTTGGGTTTGGCAGCTGTGTCAGTGTATGCCAGCTAGAGAATGTCACCAGAAGTACTGCAGATTGCAAGGTTTCCTGTGTTAGGGACTCAGCTCTCTTGTCCCATATGAAAACAATGCAGGGCATACACAGGCCAGTATTTTCCTTTGCTTGATCCCAGTTTCACCCATGCTGAAAGCGGCCTCAGAAACTCGCATAGTTCTTGTGTCACTGAGGTAGTAAACTCAGCCCTGTGTCGGGTCACCTCATCTGGTTGAGGGAGCCTCTGTGTGTGTGCTAAGACAGAGAAAGATCCTACAGAAAGGTAAGCCAGTACTGAGCAAAACAACCAACCAGTTTCTGTATCTTGCCTCAGGATTTTAAGGTTTCAACTCAGTGCTGCACCTTAGCAAGTATGTTCTAGCTCATGGATTCACAGCTTTTGGACCCAGCTGCTCATTGTATGAAGGCTTTCTGTGCAGTAGAAACTTCCTCGCTTTAGTAAGTACTAGAACTCCGCATTCTGCTTTTAAAGCATAGAACAGTCATGGACTGAGTTGTCCTTTTTTGGAATAAAAGCTTTTTAATTTTTTTTTAAATCAAATGACTGCTAGTTATCGTGTTACTGCATACATAGAATTTCTCTCTGTTGCATGATCAGAAGTCAGCCATAAGTCTTATTCTCTGGATTTAACTTCATGTTTTCAGTCAGCGTCAGGTATAGTTTGAGTGGGCTTGCTGTAGAAGACGTCTTACTGTGCCCAATTTGTGATTTCTCATTGAAATGGAGGGAAGACAGGTGAGAAACTCTCAGCCTGCTGTACTGGACTCTGGGGTAATGTAAAGCAAAACTGTAGTTGTTTGAAAAATGCCATTTGTTAAACTTTAGGTGCCATGAAGCTTTCAATTGCTTGAGAAGTTAATTGGGGGTTTTAAAAAATGATGTTTGGATTTATTAGAAATTAGCTTTTCTGGAATCTTCTGGAAGATCTAGGCCACAGCAGAGCAGGACATGTGGTTCGGTATTGTCACAAAGATACAGATACAGACGTTCTTGAATTTTTATTGTGCAATAAACCAGATGTCAAGAAAACAATGTGTTTCAGAGCTCTTTTAAGAATATAATTTTGAGTATTTCAATTTTACTTAGAATTGCAGTTTTGTTTTTTGTTCCTCAGAGTGCGTGTTTCACTTGTGAGATTTGGTTACGCAAGTCACATTGTATTCTCTTGGCTTGTTTTATGCTTAAAATGTAACATGACATGATTGTTAAAAACTGTAATAAAATATTGGATCAGCCTAAGAAATTCTCTTTTGCTAACTGGTTTTCTGGAGTGGTAACTGTTTCAGGAAAAAAAATCCAAATAGACTTAACTAATTACAGAAAAGCTGTGGCTAGCATGCTGCTGTGTCTCTTTTCCCATGACCTTCTAATTTTATCTTTTTTTTGTGTGTGTGTGACCAATTAAAATATGACGGCAGAGCAAAATAACATTGTCCTAATGCCCAGCAGCTGGGATGTAGAGGTAATAATCCATGTCTGGGAATCATAGGAAATAGAGAGGGGACAAGTTGCAGATAATTTCGTCTCTGTACTTCTGCTATGCACAGTTTTTCTTCAAAGTACATCTGTTAAATTTACTCCTCATTTAATACACTGACGTATTACTAAAATTACAGTGGTGTTTAGTTTTTGTCAGTTTGTCTTTTCTATTACAGAAGTAAAATTGATCCTGCCTAGGACAGAAAGATGGACTAGGTGACCTCTTGAGATCCTTTACAGACATTTCTTCTGTGATTTCATAGTTCTCGCTGATCTTTCTGTACCATGTTTTGCCTTTGGATGATAGTGTTTTGCTCCATGTAGTGTTTTATGTAGATATCTCTTTCCATGTATTAGAAAGAAAAAGTGCTCTTCAGATTTTGAGAAAGTGTTTCTCTTGTCTCATGAATCTTTTGAATCTCTTCTCTCCCTTCTCCCTGCCCCGGTAGCTCATGCATATCAGAACTCTCTGGGCATGAAAAATTGGTTCACACCTCTGTCTTCATTCTGTAAAAGAATGAACTAAGAAGCTGTATTTTAGAGCTCATGAAGTGCTCAACATGCTGACTGCGTTCCTCTTTGTTTTATTGTTCAGTAGTGTGAAAGGGGCAGGGAAGACAACTAGTTCTTTCTCTTCTGAGAGGGGGGAAAAATTTGGGCTCACTTTTGGTGTCTCATTCTGCCACTGTATGCTTATCTGAGGTCAGAAACCTTGTAAGAATGGACAGGACTCATATGTATGAGGGCAGGATTTGTCAACAGAGGATAAATGAAATCAACAATAACAGTGCTCTTAATTTATGTGATGAGACCTATTTTTTTTTTTCCTGTGTCAAAGCTCACTAGACCTCAGAAGATCTTCTGTGGCTGCAGTGAAAAGTGTCAGAATTCACCATTGGGAGTGGTTTTCTAGGTATACTGATTTAAGATGTTGGACAACTCCAAAAGTTTTGGAACAGCATCAATTCTTTTTTTATTGTTCTTAAAAATGAACAGTATAGTGTAAGGATGCCATTCTCAATGGTTAGCATTGTTAGGGAGCATGCTTTTTGCCCTGTGACTTGATAAGCAATGTTCTGCTATTGCATCCTTTTCTTCATTATTGTAAGGACAACTCTTGTCCCAATTGCCTTTAGCTTCATATAAAGTTCATGTGAACATTTGATAAGTGATTGATGAAGTGTGGGTAACTTTCTGGTGTCAGAATGACTAAAACCAGCCAGGAGAGTTCTGTTTCAGAGATGCCATAGATCTTTAATACTATATATTGATGAAAAGATCAAAGGTATATGTTTAATTGGTTTCAAACCTAAGCAAAACCAAAACTGAAACATAAGCATTTAAATATCTGTTCTGGGGCACAGTGCTGCTGGATATTGAATGCTTTCTGATGTATATACTGTGTTCCCAGTGATTTCACTGTTAAGTATGGTTGCTCAGTATTTTACAGGGTGAATTCAACATGGAGGAACAAGCTCAATTTTCTGAAACTTTTCTTGTTTCTTATTTCTGAGCAGTTTAGCCAAATTGAAAACTGTGAAAGCAATAGGTGTTGTGGATTGTCAAGACCTCTCAGGTGTCTCCTGCTGTTTGATATCTGAATAGGCCTAGAACTGTCCTCACGGAAACCACCTAATATGTATGTAGAAGAAAGTCTGAAAAATGAACATCTCAGATCTGTACATGTATTTGCAGTAGTTGTTTATGAAGGACTTAAGATTTTTTTTTTTGTAAATTGGCCCTCAGCGTGTACTTTTAGAGTCTTCCGTTGCTATATTCATGGCAAAAGTCTCATACACATGAAGTAGTATGGCTCATGCATTATGAGATATATAAAAGATAAATAAGTAGAAAATGTATTTTAAAGCTCTTACTTCTGTTGACTGCAGCTATCTGATATACATTAATAACATTTAGGCCTCTCTCTGTGTTTTGTTCCACAGGCAGCAGGAGCAATTCGTCCTCTAGTTTCTACTGTTATTGCTTCTGCTGCAGATGGCTGTTTAGACCACTCATTGGAACGTGCCAGGTACAGAGCGAGTGAAATGCCTCAGGCTTTCTTGTTTGATACAATCTATGAAGCGTACCAACAGGTAAGACTTTGAGACTTTCTAAGACTTTTTTCCACTTACTTTAGTTAGTCGTCTATTTTTTATTTCTCTTCTTTCAAAAATAGAGATTCAGCAGCTATTTCAGATCACTTCAAACTGTGTGTGTATTACTTCTCTGTAGTCTTTTGATGAAAATGCTTTGTCATTCTAATCTGTTCAAGTTTTTTGATTACCAAACTGCCAAATACAAGGGGGAGTGAGGGGTCTAAACTGTTGGAAAGACAGATTGGCTTTCATTTTTATTGTGCATTAAATAGATTACATAGATGAGTGGGTTAATGTGTTTAAAGTTAGGTATGTATTAAGTATGTATTATTGACTGAGTATCAGAGTTTTTTGGATGCACAGTGTGATAATGACATTAGAACAGCCTGTATCGCATCATATTATTATATAAAATATTGGGATAATATTAACTTGATACATCTAGGTAAATAATTTGTTTCGTGTTGTGTGTCTATTGTACATACTTTGATTAGTGGCTGAAAATATTTACCTAGTCTCTGTTGTAATTCTCAATTTTTTTTCCCTAATATATTGCTTTAACATCATCTTTATTTAAGAAAATAAAAATTGTGGGTAGTGTATTAAACCCTGACTCTTTAGCCTTTATCCCTCTTGAAGACTGCTTTTGTTTGCCCCACCCTGCATTCACAGTTTACTGGAAAAACTCCAGGCTTTCGTCTCAGTGTTCTACTTCCTTTTCATTCATCACCTTGTGGAAATTGCCTGTCCTCCAGGTATCTTCCAGACTGACTGGAAGCAGAGCATTTCTTCATTTGTCACTTGGAAGGATTTATTTTTCACTGCAGTAATGCTGACAGTCGTGCTTCCCATCAGTCTTTCATTTCTAGAGTAAACAAGCCCAAATTACTGATATCCACCTTCAGAGAGTACACAGCTTAGAAGTCACCAACAACAGAACAAATGCGGGGACAGGCAATGAAGAAGAAGAAACAGTTGCTTAATTGTTCAGTAATTGTTTTACTTGGAAATGGTGGTGCAAATTCCATGTCATACCCTTTATGCTTAATAATTGAAGCTATTCTCAGATGCTGAAGATGAAGGGCTATCCAAGATGAAGAGCTACTCAAGTGATTGGACTAGCTCCAACCTTTTTATTTCTGATGTGAAGCAGGGAGTTGTTCTTGGTGTATATGATAACACATAGCTGATACTTCTAAATGAGACTCTAGCTTGAATGTAGTGGGCATACTCGTGATAAAGGCAGCATATATGTGCATAGAACACATCTCAAGAGGCAACAGCTACTGTTGGTTATACAGCTGTTTTTCTTGCTGATGTGTATCTCTTGGCAAATTACATGTCTATGTGTTGTTTCTCAAAAAAAAACCCCAAAACAAACCCCTATTTTTTCCTACTGTGTTTCTTCTTAGTTTGCAGATATAGGAGAGCTGGCAAATACATAAAAAGCTTTTGCCCTAAATGCCTTGCTCAAAAGGTGACTATATTTGCAGTCCCTATGCTCCTCTGAATAGTGTTTTCTTCTCACATACGCATTCCATCAGCCTTCTTTTTTGTATCCCTGCTCTTTCAAGAACAAGCCACCAAAGTTGTTAGCAAGCAACCAAGGCTATGGTTCCTTGTCCCCAGTTCCCTTTGCATTGGCTAAATTCTGGTCATTTAAATGCTCTGTGCCTTGGAGCTCTGGGAAGGATAACACTTGGCTAAACCTCTCAACTCATATTGTTTGCTAATTATTTATGTTTCAATGGTGCCTAGCTGTCCAAGTCAAGGATTAAGACCCTATTGTTCTGGGAACTGTACAAACAAATAAAAAAAGATAGATAATCGTTGTCCTGAAAAACTTAGTCAAGCTACTGTAGGACAGATTTTTGTAGGAATGGATGCAGCTTATGGTGCTTCCTAAATATTAACATACCCATCATTAGTTGCCAAAACAACCTGGTGAAGTAGGTAAGTATCATTGTACAGATGAACAAAAAAGAGAAAATAATTTTGTTACTCATGTTGCAAGTCATTCACAAAGCTGGGAATGGAACTCATTTTGGCTGACTCAGCATGGGATCATGGTCCCGCTCCTGTGTATTTTATACGGTTGTGACCTTTATGCAACAACAGTGTGGGGAAAAACAACAGTCAAACATGCATTCCTTAGAAAGAAACTGTCCGTTTGAATTATTGCTTCAAATAACATAGGCTTTTCAGTTACGTTGTAGGTAATGTGGAATACTGCTTTTAAACTCCGTCTTTATTTAAATGCATCATCTGATGTGAGTAGATAGATTTAGAGAGTTTACTTCCAGATGTCTTCTTTTTCATGAATGCAAGATCTCTGAGTATTTTGACCACTAAGTTGCAACATTCAATTAAAGGTCAGTTCTCTGATCCTTACTGGTTTGCCATCTGTAGTCTTTTTTGCTGCTCTTGTCTGGTACCAATCTGGGCAGAGCAGACTAGTGCTCCTTCTCCTTTTATTGCTGTTTTGAATGTATTTAGAACTAGGAAGGAATAAGCTATTAACATTATTAAAATATGTAAAAATACTTTTGTATGATCTTCATCAAATTAAAAGTCATTTCCTTAGAAAACTTTTTCCATTTCTTCCTTGATTAAAAAATTATAGTAATGATTTGGGGAAAAATACATGCCTTGTACAGAAAATTAATTGAAGTAGATACAACAAATGCCAAAGATTGGTTCACAACATTATCTTAAAATGTATGTACGCTACAGTGAATTCCCTTTACATTTGGTGCCAAAAATCCAGCACAGATTTTGAGGACATTCAGCCAGGTTGGTTGCATGCATTTCATTGTGATGCGTCTCATTTTTGTGCGCTGGATCTCAATTTAGTTTTCACTCTTACCTCTTCTCTGTTGCTTAGAACATACATATTCCAAACAGATCTCTTTCGCTCAGATATATGTTGCTTTCTGATCAACTGTGACCATGTCGAGATTTCTGACATCATAACTATTAATTTCTCAGCTTTGTAGTAGTGCTGTTGAAACCTTTTAAATTTTGTTGCCTAAGAATTGCATGTACTCCGTTGTCTTTGTAATGACTTTGTTTGTTTTAATGAGCTCTCATTCTTCATCACTTGTATATCTGATATTTAAGCCTCGTTTAACAGGGCTTTTCAAAGGTTAAAAACCAGAACTTTCATTTTTTTTAATGTGGTTTTTCTGGCTTTGGGTTTTCCTTATTACAACCACTTTGTCAAAAAAAGAAAAAATGTTGGACTGGATGTGACATCAAATTAGAGTCTGTGTTGGTCAGTTACTCAGAAATGGTGTTAAGTATTCCATCCATTACCTCTGAAGTATGCTATGAAATAATTTCTGTGGCATTTCTAATTTTTGCTCATGTTGTGTGAGAGAATTAGGTCGTGTGAGAAGGTATGCATTATATTGTTTTCAGAAGGGTTTCTTGTTACTACTAGTCACACTCCTTTTGCTAGGTATACTAACTTGAAATCTTCTGTTCTTTGGGATGGTCCTCCTCTCACAATTCCATGATGTTTCTTGATCCTGATGGGGCAATTATTTAATCTTTGTATTCTGCTGTTGTAAGGTAGCCAAGGACTTCTACCTGCAAAGTAGAAAGTTTGTTTGTTTTTAATCCTTAGAGAAGCAAATAAATCTGAAATGGGAAGAGCAATCCAAAAAATGTTGGTGAGGTACTGGATACTGCTAGGTCTTCTGATGGTTAATTTTGAATAGTTTTTTTTAACTGTACTGAAACAATAGTATAGATTTATGAAAATATTTCCTTAAAACTAATCTCAGACTTTTTCAGTTAGCATCAACTTCAACATTAATTAGTGGTGGAAGCAGCTTTTTTTGATATGTCTGTGTATATGCTTGAGAGGGAAAAAAAAGACATTCACATGTCCCATATTTTTTTTTTTTTTTATTGGGGGCATGCAAGCAGTTTGAGAACCATTGTTGTTTCTTGGTGAAAGAAGAATTGGGAATACTTTGTGTCTGCCTTTTTGTGGTGCAGCAGGCAAGTGGAGGTGCAACAGGGAAGGGAAAGGTTTTTGGTATTATTCCACCTCAAATGATAATTGCTCCAGTGCAGCAGGATCAGAAGACCACTGTTCAGGAAATAGCTACTCCTCCCACTCCAGAATAGTCATACTGATTTTAACATTTTTATAAAGTTTCTGTTACATTGTTACACACTTTACTTTTAACTCAGCATACCTCTTGGCCCCTGTATTGGATATCACATAAGCCAGACTAAACAGTTGTTTAATTTCAATATTGACTTTAACTGTTCAGAGCCCACAACAGCCAGTGGAGCTAAAATGATGTCTTGATCTTAAAAGGCCTCATGACTCTGACTTATGTGTCATTAGATAGAGCACTTATGCCTATTCATTTATTGCAGTTAATGGGATTTCGGCAGATAGAGGCACCTACCCCTGTTATGAAATGCTGCTTAATGCTTTCTGTTGCAAGTCTCCATGTTCAGTTGGTTATATGAAGCATGGGAAAACAGCTGTTTACTTCTATTTCAGTGAAGTATTTTGATGCCTCCACTTTGTAGTAGGACTTTAGAATTTGGCATTGGGATGGGTCCTGAGGTGAGAAAAGGATGAATTGTTACAAGCCTCCTTACATACACCTGTGAGTGTTACTGTGTCACTCATCATATATATGCCTCCTCACCTCATATTCTTATGAAGTGCAGCAATGCTTTCATGCCCTTCAATTTGCTAAATTTATGAAAGTTATAGCTTTTATTTGTATGATGCATTCTTGATACAAGGTGGACGAGTGACAGATGCAAACAACTGCAAGGGGAGAAAGAGCTGTATTTATAATGTGTGTGGTATCTTGCAGGCAGGAGGCTTTACCTTAGCCAGGGGTTTTCCTTGGGATGTTGGGTAAAAGGCCATATAAACGTGTTAAAGGGATCAACGTAATGTTGCATCAGTGCTCTTAGTTCTGGTATGTCCTAATTTGTGAGTTCTTGATTCCTGCACAGTG